AGGAAGAAAAGATAGTTTCTCCACATATGAGCATAATCAACTTAGTTCAAAATCATCCATTAATAAAACATGATCCAAGTCTAACAATAATTACACCCTAGGTTCAATTCCAAGTCCTAGGTTACACAATTACGATGGAATCACACTCAAATTCAAGAGAAGAATTAGAGGAGATAAATAAACTTACCTGTGAGCTTAGATCTTTCAAATTCTCTCTAGGTTATTCACTCTATAAACTTTGTTGAAGTCCCCCACTAGCTTTTCTCTCTACTCCCTCTATCCTCCCCCAAGAAATATGTGAGATAAATTTTTCTTAGGTCACATGGTTAAGAACACACATATATAAGGAATGAATAAGGAAAAAATCAATCATTTAGTCATCCTAAATTGAAATTTCACAGCAAGGCTTATTACTACCTAAAAATTATGCTGATTTCAAATATAAAATCAATTCCGAATTATCAAGTCTCTAAGGCCCTCAATTTCTGATTTAACATTCTAAACATGCAAATACTTTTCTCATTAAACAGATACGAGCTTCAAATCATAAGATCCATAGGTTTAAACTTCATTTCTCATGAAGTTTCACATTAAGCATTTGAAAACACAGAATAAGGGATTAAAAATATATCACAATCGTATGCGAGGGTTGGGTTATTACACTAAACATGTAGAATTTGTAGTATTTTAGACATGTATCCATGAATTATAGGATTATGGAACTTGGTTGCTTGACCTTTGAAGCTATAGAGCTCAAATCCATGTCTTGATGATGATAGAAAAGAGTTTAAGTTTGGATTCATGCTTGCAAGGAAGTTTAGAATAATGATTTGTCAAATTTGTGAAGTTTTGTATATAAGAAATGTAATTCATCAAGTATTAGTGTTCAAATACATGTTTTTGAAGTTTTTGGGTAAATCATACATGATTTTGGCCTTTGGAAATGTGTTTTGAACTTCAAACAAAATTCTGGAAATTCTAAAATTTGACTTGTCCACTCGAGCGAGGAAAGTGTCGCTCGAGCATAGAAATCAAGCTCCCAGAAGTTTTACAGAGAATTACGTAGTGGCTCGAGCGGCAAACCTTACGCTCGAGCGAACCCTGTTTTGCAAGACTTATCGCTCAAGCGATAGAAATCTCGCTCGAGCATAAAAATCATTTAACCAATACTTTTATAGAGTTTTACAGATTGCTCAAATGACCAAAGCTGCGCTTGAGCGAAGTGCCTTGTTTCTGCAATTTTGAAAAACCACTTCATGTTCCATTTTCGTTCTCTTTCATTTCTAAGCACTCTTAGGCATGTATTGAGCATTGTAAATGAACTAAAGGATTAAGAAAGAGGCCTAAGAGAAATAAACAAGTTAAGAACAGATTGAATTGCTTGTGACCTAATGTGTTATGAAATGTGTAGGTCAAACGCAAAGGCAAATCCATCGATGGAACACTGTGAGTAATATCTTAGTAGAGATATTTTCAAGTATGTTATTTTCCAAATGCTACTTCTGTAAAAGTTTCATAGATATGTTGGATTGAATTATGAATGAGTATTTGATATGCCTAAGTTTTGTATAAGGCTTTGTAAAGAATATGAATTGGGCCTGAGGCCATTTGATACGTTTGATATATATGAATTGGACCTGAAGCCGTTTGATATGTTTGATATGTATGAATTGGGCTTGAGGCCGTTTGATACGGTTAAATATTTTGATGGGCCAAAGGCCATTTGAATGAAAGGCGATCATGATCATGAATGTGAAATATGCATAAATATGAAAATGGAAATGATGTGCCCGAGGCCGTTTGATATGTCGAAGTGTTTAGATTGGGCCCAAGGCCATTTGATGAGTCTGACAAAGTTATGCAATGGGTCCGAGGCCGTTTGATGTGTTTGATGCAATAGGTCCGAGGCCGTTTGATATGTTTGATGAGGACTTAAAATGGGCCCGAGGCTATTTGACATGTACAACAAAAACACATAATGGGCCTAAGGCCGTTTGTATATGAAATTTATAGGTTCGATGTACTTAATATGAATCTCACTCATATAATTCCTTTACTTTGGTATTATTCATTGAGCTTTCACTCACTCTTGTTTATATGTATGTAGGTGAGCAAAGAAATGTCCAACCCCAGCCTCAGTGAAGAATGTGAGAGAAATCCAAGTTGTGTGGAGTTAGCCCAAATGTCTCATGCACAAGACTTTATTTTTGTTCTTTTGCTTACTTTTTTGCTACCTTTGTGGTTCCGTTGGATCACCTATGTATATAAACTTTTGGTTTAGCTGACTATATGTTTGAATGATCCTGGATACACAAGGTGTAAATTTTGGTTATGGTGTGAGTTATTATCAATATACGGAGAATGTTTTTGATGTGCCACATAAGCACAACTCATTGAAAAAAAAAAAATTAAGTTTGATCCCGCTTTGGCCCCTTTATTACTATTAAGATGCGTTTAATCTTATTCGAGGCTGTAGGTAATGTCATGATTATTGGTTGGTTATGACCTTAATCTATAGGGGCGGGTTCGTGTCATGACAACATGTGGGCACCACTCCTTGCCACATCACTAGAGCTCTCTTTAGAGCTCCAAAATTAGAGTTCTCAATCTTCATATATATATATATATATGGGTAGTTTAGTCATTTTGAGGGAGCTTGTTCTTATGGACAAAGTCTTTTACACTTTGTTTGGATGGAGAAGTTTGGTTAGAAAAGAAAAGAAACGGCGAGAATAAGAAACCCTTTCACTCATTTGGATGATTAAGTAGGTGAGAAATGAAGAGAAAATTGTGATAAAATGATTCTCACCAAACCTAAGTTTTGTTTTTCACCAAAAGTGGTGAGATTTGGTAAGAAAAAAATTTGGTTTAATGAAAGTTTTCTAAAATACCAAAATTACGCTTATAAAAAAACATAACTTATTAATATATGGAAGGTTATTTTGGTAAACTAAAACACAACACTTTTCTTTCTTTTCTCTTATTTACTCTATCCAAACAATATAGGTAAGAAACCACATTCTTTTCTCTTTTATTCATCCAAATATAATAGTGAGAAACCATAATCATTCCCCCCTCCTCCCCCCTCACCTAGGTAAGAAACCACAATCATTTTTTTTCTCACCTAGGTGAGAAACCACAATTATTTCTTTTTTCACCTCATCTCATGATCCAAACGGAGTATAGTGTGAACCTTTGGACAAAGAAAAATCAAAATTGGATTTACGGATCGAGTGCCCTAATTTTATGGTTGACATAAATCATAGTCATTGAGATTGACATAAATCATAATTATTAAGATAAATTTTGAACATTTTCGATTTTTAACATTATTAATTTGTGGGAAAATTATATAAAAATTCAAAAATTTGAGTCTTGTAACAAAATAAATCCTGAATTTTTAATTTTATCAATTCAAACCTTAATATTTTTTATTTGTTTTCAATCTAAACTATTTATCTATTTTTGTTAGGTAAAACTCTAAAAAATATATATTTTTTCGTCCTTAAACTCAATGAAAATGGATATTTTAGACATCTTTTGTGCAATGACGTTAAGTTTAATGACTACAATACTATTTTTCAATTAAATTTACTTAACAAAAATAGACAAATGGTTTAGATTGAAAACAAATCAAAAGATTAAGATTTATTTTATTACTTAATGAAAAGTTTATTTTATTATGAGGCTCAAGCCCTGATATATATATATATATATATATTTGTAATTTCCCTCTAATTTATTTATATGTTTTCCTGACATAGTAGATTGAATTGTAAAATTTGATCAAATTTAATTTTTAATTTTTCTTAGAAGCAATTGTAATTGATATAGTCAAGCAATATTCTATAAATAATTCAAACATTTGAAAAATAGCCATCCATTATTTTTAAATAATTCATCAAATCAATTTTTTTTTTTATTTTATGAAACTTTATTTTTTAAAATATTAATACTATAATGTAGTGTTTGATTCATTGAAATTAAATTAAAGTGAGTAAAATGATTATTCCTTAGTCTCTTTAAAGAATGACTATTCTTTTCACAATAATAAATGACGATTTTGTTTTGTAATATATATATATATATATATTGGTAAATTAAACGTAAGGATGGACATTATGATAGAATTATTATTTTATTCCACTTCATTTCAATAAACTATACATAAACTTAAGATCAAATATTATTTCAGGGTTCTATTTTTCAGACAAAATTCTACGGCCTGAAACGACAGCCTTGGTTGCGTTGCCTCAAGGCCAACCCTGGGTGGACAAAGAAAAAATATAGAATGGGATACAGACGAAGTATGTAGTTTTGTAGAATTAGATACAAGTTGAGTTTCAATCGTGCAACATGCATCATAAAATATACAGATACAAGATAAAAAATATTTGTGTCTATTATTGCGTTGCATCTATAATGATCAAGATGTCTCATATTGTTTGCATTTTTAGAGTTGTTTTGGGGTTTGCTTATTTTGTGGGGTTTTTTTTTTTTTTGTGAATTTTTTTAAAAAAAATTTAAAAAGTTTTAAACTTCTATATTCAACTCGAAATATGAACCGAAAAAATATATATATTTTTTTAAAAAAATTATGAAAAAAGACAAAACAATAAGCAAAATATAGTGAATATTTTAGATTATTTTGGCTTTTAATTTTTTTTTTTTCAAAAAGAAATATTCTTTTCAGATTCGTCTCGACAAAAAAAGTAAAAAATTTTGACAAAATTTTAAAAAAATTCATTGAAGATATAAAAAAATATAGATAGAAGGGGTGATTTTTTTTTTTTTAATTGCCAAAAGAACACTTATAATTGTTAATATATCTTCTATTTGTACATTTTGTATCCAATATCTTGTTTCTTGTGCATATAGACATTTTGAATTTCATAAGAAGTACAAAATTTAAAATAATCTTTAAATTGTTGACATTTCTTTTTTGTGGAAAAAGAATAGTAATTGAAAATCAAACCCATGTCAGCTTCTGTTAAATTCTTATCTTGAGAAATGAGGAGACTTGTGCCAAACCGCAATATCGGTCCCCAAAAGAGGCAAAAACAAACCGACTGCTTCTCTCTTTCTTCTCTCTCTAATCTCCCACATCCTCGTGTCACTTCCCTCTCACCCCCACGTTTCCTCTTCATGGCTTCACCAACAATTTTTTCTCGCTTTCCCAGACAGTCACACAACCCTCTCATCCGTTGTTTCTTTAAACACCAAAAGCGTGCCATTTTCAAAGACTCTCTCTGCTTTCAAGAAATAGTAAAGTTATACAGAGATGAGGCTATATGTGTATGTGTTGGAGGGAAGAGATTTGGCAGCGAAGGACTCATATGTAAAGCTTCAGATTGGGAAGCACAAGTCCAAGACCAGGGTTTTGAGGGACACCACAAACCCAGCTTGGAATGAGGAGTTTGCTTTCAGGGTACAAGCCATGGATGATGAGCTTGTGGTCTCTGGTTATCACCATGATGATAACTCTGGGTTCTTCAATGCCTCTGGAGATTTGATGGGTCGGGTTCGGATTCCAGTATGGTCCGTTGTGGCCGAGGAGAATCACAATTTGCCCCCCACGTGGTTTTCTATTTCTATAGAAAAGCCCAAGGCTTCAAAATCGATCAACAAAGATGGTGGTTAGTTGCCCCTACCTCTCTGTTTGGCTCTGTCAATGATGGTCTGTCTTTTCTCGTAGACTGATAGAACTGTATCTTTATTGCTGATGATTAATGTAATTTAACAGTGTTCTTTTACCGCAGCGGAGCCAGAAATTTAATTTAGAGGGACACTTACTAATTATAATAATTTTTATAAAAATATTTCAACGTAAATTTTTTACGATTGAATTCAGGAAACATAAAAAAAAATATTATTTATAACTAGTGTATCATGGATAATATAAAAAAAAAATATAGATGTAAGCCTTAAAATAAATTATCTAATGATAAATTATTTTTTGATACAAAATTCGATTAAAAATTTAATATAATGGTAATACCACATCATCATTGGTATATAATATCACCCACTAATGGTAAATAAACGCATAAAGAGTAAACCTGACATGTCAAATATAACTAACAATCGAATAAATTCCATATCTTTATAGTGAGATTACTTATACTTGCATATCACTAATAATGACATCGTCGTTACATTCAAAAAATTTCATAACTAATATAGTTTATTTACAATAGTCTCTTCATTTTCAATCAAAACAACCATTATTGTTTTCATAATTTTTAAAATGTCATTGACATTTCACTCTAATAATATTTTTGTTGTGTGTGTGTGTGTGTGTGTGTGTGTGTGTGTGTGTGTGTGTGTGTGTGTGTGTGTGTGTGTGTGTGTGTGTGTGTGTGTGTGTGTGTGTGTGTGTGTGTGTGTGTGTGTCGCCCCTGTTCTTTCATATGCCTTGTGTGTGTGTGTGTGTGTGTGTGTGTGTGTGTGTTTGAACGTTTGAGCAGTTGTACATTGAGATAGAATTAGGAAAAATGTACCTATGAAAGTACTTTGATCAAGGTGGTTGGGTTACATATGACTATTTCATCAGGGTCTTTTGAAATTTTAGAAATTAACTGCCTTGGATTATTGAGAGAAGATTACATATTATAAAGAAGAAACAAAAATGAGCATAATTGAGTGAAGTTTGTTTGTTTGTTTGTTTTTTACCTTTAGCTGGTGTACTTGTTTGTTTGGGGGGATTGGAGGGTTGGATAGGGCTCCATGTCCATTCATGGAATAGCCCGATTTTTGTCCATTTCTTATTCAAAAAATGTAAGCCGGGTAAAATAACATTTTTGGCCCTCCGAATTATTGTACTTAATAAGATAAAATAAAATTTAAAAGTCTCAACTAAAATTTAAAATAAATTTATTTAATTTTTATTGGTGTTCTATTTATTTAATTTTTTAAAAGTTCTAGCCAAAAAATAAAATATAATTTATAACTTAGATTTATTATTCCTATTATTTAGTAAACAATTCAAAAGATAACATAGTCTTTTGAGCATTTATCTTTTTTCATAATATCCCAAACAAGTATATGATTCAATAGAATAATCATTTCTTGTTATGAATCCCATTTCTAAGCAAACATTTTATACACATCCTTTCCAACCAAATTGTCCAGAGACTATCCAGTCTGTGCAAACAAACATTTAAATGCTCTGGGAACTTCTGACTGGCTTGCCGATAATTGTTTTTAAGGGTTTCTGTCATTTGCATTGTTTTCTTTGATTGGTAAATACTAGTAGACATCTGGACATCCCTCAGAAATTGAGCCATAGTCCATAATGTTATACATATTGTTTGCAGTGAAGTAATTGATTTTCCAATAACATGATATAATTTTTCTTGTTTCATTTTGTGTAATTGCAAGGATAATGACATTGAAAGATGTCAACAACAGTAAGTGGATCATGAAGTTGAATAATTTCTGTTAGTTTGTTGGTTTGCTTATGATTTGGTAAAAAATTTTATGACTTGCATTGGCTCCTGTTTCTTGATCTCTCACGAGAAGTTATAGTTGCTCTTAAAAATTGTGAATTAGTCATCAAAGTGTATGCAGAAAGAGCTCTTCCTGTTTTACCCATAGAAGTTTTACCTCATGGATGCAGGGAAAATTCTCCTTGCGCTTTCTCTGCATGGAAGAGGCCAAGACATATCCACTGACTACCTTTTCCATGAAAATCCAAATATTAAGAATGGGGATTCTAAAGAATGGGAAGGCCCCCATGTTATATATCAAGATATTTGCACAGCTTCATCTCGGAAGATCCTGGAGGGAAAACAGAAGATGAAAGCTATTGCAGGCCGTTTGGAGAGCCTTTTTAATAGAAATGAGGATAACTCTAGAAATGATGATTCTTCGGAACAGTCCGCTACACTGTCTGAATATGGGGATTGCATGGAAGAACCTCTATCTTGCGGTAGCTTTGAAGAAGCTATGGAAAAGATACAGTCAGTGAGCAATGAAAGAGAAATGCCCAAGAACCTGGAAGGGGGCATTCTTATTGATCAGACCTACATGGGAACATCCAAAGATCTCAACTCAATTCTTTTCGCTCCCAATTCACAGTTCAGGAGAGATTTGGCAGACTTGCAAGGAACGACAGATGTACAAGAGGGCCCCTGGATGTCAAAATCAGAAGACATGTGTTTAACGCGAGTTGTTAGCTATACAAAAGCTGCAACAAAGCTAGTTAAGGCTGTTAAAGCCACTGAGGAGCAAACCTATACTAAGGCAGATGAAAGGGAATTTTCTGTTCATGTAAATGTGAGCACACCAGATGTTCCATATGGTAATACATTCAAGATTGAAATACTTCACAATATAATGCCTGGGCCACAGCTACCTTCAGGAGAAGAATCGTCCCGTCTTGTATTATCATGGGGCATTACCTTCTTTCAGAACACTATGATGAGGGGTATAATTGAAGGAGGAGCTCGGCAGGGACTCCAGGAGAGTTTTGATCAGTTTGCCAGCTTGTTGGCTCAAAATATTAAAACACTCGAGTCTTTAAACGTATTAGACAAGGTTCATATGTTGGCAACTTTGCAAAATGAGCACCAGTCAGATTGGGAGTTGGCAACTGTGTATTTTTGGAATTTTGCCGTCATTTCTGCTGCTTTTGTAATTTTGTACGTCTTCGTACATATTCTACTCTGTAGACCTCGGGAGCTGCAAGGCTTGGAATTTAATGGTCTTGATTTGCCAGACAGTTTTGGAGAGCTTATCACCGGTGGAATTGTAGGCATTCTATTAGAGCGTGTTTATAACATGATTTCACATTTTGTACAAGCTAGGTTCAAAAGAGGTAAACAATGAACAGCGCCACTTAATGTGTTATCAAGTGCTCTGAATTTCATGTAAAATAAAAACTTTTGTGTAGCTTATTTTTGCTACTTCATTGCTACCATTATTATATGAACAGGAAGTGATCATGGAATCAAAGCCCAAGGTGATGGATGGGTGCTCACTGTAGCTTTGATTGAGGGGATGAACTTAGCATCGATGGATCCAACAGGGTTGCCAGATCCCTACGTGGTGTTCTCCTGCAACGGGAAAACAAGAACAAGCTCTGTTAAGCTTCAAGCTCCTGATCCTCAATGGCATGGTGAGATCTTTATTTCCTTTGGATTATTTTATGTGGTTCATTTGAATCATTTCGGTTAATATCTATTGACAAATTTTTGTGCCTGGCTCACCATCCACTAAAAAATCATGCAGAGATACTTGAGTTTGATGCTGCTGAAGAACCTCCCTCAGTTTTGGATGTGGAGGTTTTTGATTTTGATGGTCCATTTGACCAGGCTGCCTCACTTGGGCATGCAGAGATAAATTTCTTAAAACACACATCTACAGAACTAGCAGACATCTGGGTTTCCCTCGAGGGAAAACTTGCTCAGTCTTCTCAGTCAAAGTTGCACCTTAGAATATTTTTGGACAATAACAATGGCGTTGACACAATTAAAGATTACTTAACAAAGATGGAAAAGGAGGTCGGAAAGAAGGTAGACATATTTTTCATTATTTTTCATAGTTGTTTAAGATCATGTAGAGTGGGACCCTGTCCTCATTTGCATTCACCACTCCAATCACTTTTCTTTTGTTTTCCTTGAAAGTAATTGTTGCGATTTGAGCATCCTTTTGTTGTTTCTATAACTTCACTCAATGTCTCTACTGAAATGTTAATCTAACTCCATGATTCACAATTGACAGTTGAACCTTCGATCACCTCACAGAAATTCAACTTTCCAAAAAAATTTTGGTTTGCCACCAGAAGAATTTCTCATCAGTGATTTCTCATGCTCCTTGAAAAGAAAGATGCCATTACAGGTAGGTAATAATTGCATATTCAATGCTTTTTAAGTAAAAGGAATTCTGGAGTTCTTTAGTCCCATCAGCACCACCAAACAATTGACAAAGAAGTTGCAACTCAGAAGTTGCCGAGTCCTTAGAAGTTGCACAAATATGATACAATTGAGTATAATAATCATATCTTGATGGTTGATGCATTATATTTTAAATTTATGGGGCCTTTTTTCCTGTCCCATAAGCCCATTAAATTAGTGGCATTTGATTTCAGAAAGTGTTCACTAACAGAGAGTACCGTTGTTACTAAATTCAGAAATTACCTCTATCTAAATAAGTGTTTAACAGAACTAAGTACGTACATTGTAGGTAGTGCTTACCAGGAGTCAGGGGGTCACTAGAGAGAGAGAGCGGAAGCACACATCCTGTAAACTGAGGACAGAGGAAATGTTAAGATGAGAGAGAAAGTAGCCCGTATATATATATAGAGAGAGAGAGAGGGAGCACCATGATGTGAGCAAATACAAACTAGACCACGTATATACATATATATCTTTTACAGAGTAAAACAAAATAATTACTTTAACAGAGTAAAACAAAAACAATTACAAAAATATAACTTTTACAGAGTAAAACAAAATAATAACTTTAACGGAGTAAAGTTTTAATGTTAATTTAAAACAGAGCATCAACAAGAAAATGACAGATTATGGCCCCGTTTGGTAGAGCTTTTTTACGCTAAATAATCAATTTTTTTCTTCTTATTTAAGCTATTTCTGCAGAAGTTGTACCAAACAGTCTGACATAGACTCCCAAATTAAAATAACCCATAATCATCTCTTAGAAGCTATACCAAACAGCCCCTACATATTATTATAGCAAAGTTAGTAAAATTTTACTCTCAATTTTATGAAAAAACACAGTAAAATTTTACTGACTGTTATTTATAAACATATTTGTATAACAAAAGAAATAACTCGAGAACACAATGCCATAGTAAAATTTTACTGTTATTCTTAACGGGCACCAAAAAAAAAAAAAGAAAAGAAAAGAAAAAAGAGAGTACATATTAAAAGAGCAACCGCAACAACCAGAGATGAAATTTTACTTTCACATTCACAAACTAGTTAACAAACACAATTACAAATCACATACAACAAAAACATATCAAACAATGATTCAAACAAGCTCCAACTCTAACACGAATGAAACTCCAACTCTAACTCAAATAAAGATTGAATGAAGATCTGCAACTCGATGAGGCTCTCTTGTCCTGCAACTTGATGAATCTCTCGCGAGTACGAACTGGAAAACGATTGATGAAGGAGAAGAACGATAGGGAAGGAATGACAATCGCATTCACAGATTTGATTCAAATCTCTCAGATATATATATCGAAGGGCAAGATTATCTAAAAAGAAATAAAAACATGTTTCCGTGTTCTCCATCAAGTATGCACCTCCAAGTGAGGGGGTTTATGAAGGAAAAAATTATGGGCTGTCTTTTCACCAAAAAGGAGCCGAATGGAGGTGTTTTGGCTAAATTTCCCTTTTATTTCCATATTCCTTTCATTCTCTTTTACTTGTACTTCCACTTTCTAGTTTTTTTTATTTTTTATTTTTTATATATTTTTTTAAAAATCAAACTTAGCCATATTGTTTCCAGGGAGCATCCAAACCTTTCTATTTTTATGTTGCGCGTAGCTCATTGATAGATATGATTTTTTCTGTGTATCTGCTTGTGTTCAAGTGTCTAGAACTTGGATTAAATTTGAGACATCCTTTTGGTGCAGGGGCGCCTTTTTTTATCTGCAAGAATTGTTGGGTTTTATACCAACTTATTTGGACATAGAACCAAATTTTTCTTTCTTTGGGAGGACATTGATGAAATTCAAGTGCTTCCCCCATCTCTAGCATCCATGGGCAGTGCTCAGTTGGTCATTGTTCTTCGGAAGGGTCGAGGTCTTGATGCCAAGCATGGTGCAAAGTGCCAAGATGAAGTAGGCAGGCTTCAGTTCTATTTTATATCATTTGTGTCATTCAACGTAGCTAATAGGTATGAATGACGTATATTAATTTAATGCTGCACTGTTAGTCATAAAGCTGATATGATGACCATAGAGATATTTATGCATTATTTCTTACTTCAAATGGGTGCTTCATTGTGCTATACTAACAGGACAATCATGGCCTTGTGGCGAACAAGAACACTGACTCCAGATCAGAAAGCACAGATTGCAGAAGAGCAGCAGGAAGATGATGGAAAGTCTTTATTACTTGCAGACACTGGGTCTTGTTTGGTTGTTGAAGATGCAAAAATGTCCAAGGTTTACTCTGTGGAACTTCCTGTAAAAGTAAGTGGTCGATGTTTTTCTTTTCACTTCTGTTTGCTTGCTTGTGAGTCCATGGACCTTTATGCGAGTTTTTCAGCCATTAGGCTTCATTTCATTTTGCAAAGAAGCAGACTGTATTGAGGTTCCTCATGTTATTTCTACCCAGAGGTAGGCCTGTATGAAAAGGCATAAATTATGCGTTAAGACTATAAATAATGATTCTAAACCAGTCTTCTACTTGTAAAGCAGTGAATGTACTCCTCTCAGAACTGAGCTGAATAATCAGGAGACGGGCCTTGCCAGGCAGAAACCCCTGATCTAGTCCTTAAAAGTAGAGGCTAAACATGGATAATGCCTCTGAGTTTGCAATTTCTTTACCAAAATTGGCATTTTCTTATCCTTTCTATGCCTGCACAAGGAAGAGGAAGCTAATGTTGTTTGTGTTTCCTTTTTTTATTGATCCTTTTGCTTTGTACTTTTTTTTCTCAATGGTATATGTTTAATTAATATTATTCATTTTTAAGTAACTTTGGCATAGGTGCCTAAACTGTATGGAAATTCTTGTGCAGATGAAATTGCTGATGGAAATGTTTGATGGGGGAAACTTGGAGCATATAGTGATGGGAAAGACCGGTTGCCTGAGTTATGTCGCTACTACTTGGGAACCTGTAAAGACAGACTTGTACGAACGATGTCTATGTTACAAATTTAACCGCCAATTCTCAATCTTTGGAGGGGAAGTTACGTGCACACAGCAGAAATTTCCCATTTCAAATGGTAAAGGGTGGATTGTGAATGAGGTTATGGCCCTACACCATATCCCATTCAGTGACCACTTCCGTGTAAGTACACCAATGCATTGCAAAGACATCTCTGAGGTGAAATCTCATCTTCTATTACTTTAATTGATCCTTGTTTGTTCCATTCTTCCCATGCAGGTCCATTTTAAGTACCAGTTTGAGAACTGTATTCTCTCTCCTAGTTCATCATGCAAGTGTGCCATTTATGTTGGTGTCACGTGGCTAAAATCTACCAAGTTCCAGCATAGGATCACTCGAAACATAACTGAGAAGTTCACTCATCGACTGAAGGGAATATTTGAATTGGTCGAAAGAGAGATTTTATTAACCAATAGTCCCATTTGACTAATACTTTCGGCACTTCATTCCGCTTTTTCTTCAGAAGGATTGAGTTGCAGAGCAATGGCAATTGAGCAAATTTATTAGATGCTTCACAATTTTCATGTTGTAGCCGCTTTGAGGATGAATCGAATAATGTGCATTGGGTGGTTCTTGGCTAACAATGTTGAATGAGGTTAAAATTATCAATATTGTCCACGCATTTCTCACAGTAACTTCCTAGATGCACCCCTGGGTCCTAACGAACATAGCCAATGCTATATGATCCATGAGTCATATGTCCTTTAGTAACACTCAATTCCCTTGGTGGGCCTACGGTGTCTGGAAGCCAATCCCTTCGTATAAATTTGAAGTGTTATGCTTTTGGGATGTAGTGTTTTTTGATTATCCGAAAAAAAAAGGTAATTTTTCTATTAAATAAGTTGAAAACAAAAGTTTGTTTGGGAAAAGTTAAAAAAAAAAATTTAAAAACAAAAATCAACTTTTCTCTATTAAAAAATAATATTTTTGACAATTCATTAGTTTTTTTAGAATTTAATAAAGTGAAATACTTGAACAAAAATTGTTTAAAAAAATGGAAGGGGCATTGATTTGTAGGTCTTATCTACACAGTTTAAAACTCATCTAGTTTCAAAATAAAACATTTGCATTAATTAGTTTTACATATTTTTAATTGTTACTATTTTTTTTAAAAAAAAAATTTAAGGACGCTGCACGTCTCACCATCGACGAACATTTGTTAGACAGTCATCGAAGACTTGTCAAAATGTTCAACATTATCGGAAAATCGTTAGAGTGTTCTGAATGTCATCGAAAATCGCCTGAATGTCCAGAACATTGACTCACCAAAATGTCAAGAATATTGTCGGGAAAAAAAAAAGAATAACTGGAGAAAAAAGCAATAAGGAAAAAATATAGGAGAATTGGTCAAAACCCCCTCATAGTAAAACTTTAATGCATTAAGGAATAATACAAAAAGTTTTAGGAAATTCTATTTTCACACACCAAGTTTCCTTACTCCACACATTTAAAGAATTTTTTTAGAATCACAATTTTATCATTTAACAAAATTACTATCTCACCCACACATCTCACAATTTCTCCATACACATCTCACCAGCCACTTCACCGCCGGTCATTGCCTCCCATGCCCAAACCTCAACAATACAAAGCGAGGAACAATATATATGCCGGTTATAGTTCTGGTTTCTGGGTATCCACGGGTGTGCAGGGAGGGTTCTTCTTCAGATTTTTGGGTTCTCTTGCTAGTTTCTCCATCACTGTGAGCCTACGTTTTGCACCGGTGGTGTGCTGGTTTTGGTTTAGTGCTCGATGTTGACTCCACCAGCGCTGTTTCGATTTGCCATGGCCGGAGTGGAGCAAGCTTTAGAGAAGAGAATGGAGTGGTGTGACACGCCTTGGGCGAGTGGCGTGGATGGTGTTGAAAAGTTGTTGTCCTAGTCATGCTTATGGTGACAGAAAGTAGCTGGTAGCCAGGCACTTGTCTGCGAGATGTAGTTCCGGCGAACCTTAGTTCTCGTACTAGGCCTAAGCGACACGGTTGTTGTTTGTCTTCTTCACTCTAACTCTCAAACCCTAAGACACTGTATCCAAACCGAAACATATATATATATATATATATATGTATCTATGAGACAAAATTGAATAATCGATAAGCTTAATCACACCTGAACCTTGTGTGTGTATGTGTGTGTGTGTGTGTGTGTGTGTGAGAGAGAGAGAAAGAGAGAGAGAGAGAGAGAGAGAGAGTTAGGATTTTTGGGGGAGAAGATTGCAATGGAGGTGACGGCAGCGTAAGGGGCTGTGTGAGAATGGCTAAGAGGCTGGGAAGGGGCGGATGGAAGGAGAAATGATGCGCACAAAGAAGTGAAGGTATATTTGGAATGTAAAGTGTGTGAACTGAGATAAAGAAGTAAAAATCGAATTATTAATTGTGTGGATTGAGAAACGATGTACACAAAGATAATTTGGTGTGTGGAAATAAAATTTTCCGAAAGTTTTCCTTGAAAAGTCTAGAAAATATCACTATTACCAAAATATCCTTAGTGATTAATTTAATATCTCAAACTTTAAAATAATATAACTTTTGATTTAAATATCAGTTTTTAATAAAATTAATATTTTTAGAATTCTCTCAACAAGATCTATCACAAAAGATTCATGTTGACTATGAAATTCTTAAAAATAAATAAATAAATAAATAAAATAAAATAAAATAAATAAAAATTACTATCAAAATTGACGTAAACAGTAACATGTTACTATTTGTTTTGAATAGAACATCAACAACAAAAACAGAGTATGATCCTTCCTGCATATGAACTCACACTACTGCAAGAAATTAAAACCCATACATACTCGTAGAATACTCAATTGCAACTTCAAAAACCCTCTTTGTGCTGATAAAAAATGGAACATTAGTGGCACATCGTAGAATATCAATTTACATAGTCAAGTGATACAATAAAGTTTGCATCGCTTTCTCTCCAACCACTATTAATGTTTGAGAGAATCAATTTCTTTAGTGTTGAAAAGCGTCGAGTTGAATCGAAATTGGAAATCTTACAAGTCAAAAAGTAGGATATTGTAAAGATACAAAGTGCCCAATACAAAAATCAAACTCTACAAACAACGACTTAGAGAACAAATTGAAGATACTACAAAGATCGACGGCAAGTTTGTGATGCCCCAAAAATCAGGAACATCAAACGAATATATTAAAATAAAAATACTATGGTTTATCTAAGGTTACAAATCTAGAAAACGTTACTAATGAGTCCTTTGGTTAATAATTAAGTAAGATCCTAGAAAAGTCGAAGGAGTTAATATAGCCTCCTTTCAAAATACAACCACCTTAGATAGCAAAGCTACATTTTGAACATATCTTAATAAGATATTAACACAAGCTCCACATAAGTGGATGAGAAAATAAGGAATAGGTAACACAAAAGATATATATAGATATATAATAATTATAAAATCATGTCTTAAATACAACATGAGATTTATCATTTATAATCTCAAAACATGTTTGCAAAACTAGTTTGTAATTCTCTTAGGGTATCCATACGACCTCAAATGCTTTAGGTTCGTCTTCGACTGGCTAATGGCTTTCAATACCTGGCATGAAACGCCATAAGCTTTGAATGCCAAGTAAACGCACATACGACCCTTTTTCCTAATCCAATACACAATAATAGTATGACTATAATATATGGCGGAAGTAAAAATGAAGCAGAGCTTATAATAAATTTCAGTACTCAAGAATAACGGTCAATCAAGCTAGTTCTAGACAACTCCCTGCGGAATGTCGTTCCTACCCAACCACTAACACTGGCCATGGGCAATTTTGACTCCTCATTGGTTAAACAAATACCAATGTGTCGCTTACCGCACAATTACCAATGATGCCCATGCACGTAGGTTACATACTCAAGTGGTGACATGATGGTCTGCCCCAAGGGAATAGGCTTCCAGGTATACTCTCCCTGTGTGAGACCCTCACTCTCACTCTTATACCTCCCAATTCCGCTAAGCATCCAGAATACCTCCCGTGCCAAGTTAGGGTTCGAAAACACACATGCGTTGTGATAACCCCGTTTTATCTTATACTGTTAATCCTCAATTATACCTGTGATTATGTGCTTAATATGAATTTAGATGCTAATCATGTGATTATGTGCATTTTTTAATTCATATACGTCCATTGTAGAGAAGTATGTTTGGTATTCTGTAATAAACCGAAATTGAGGGCCGTAGAGGCAACAGAAACCGAAATTGACTATACCATTGTGTTTAGCATAATTTTTACAACCTGTGGTGAAATTTAATTAAAAACTTATTCGGATCAAATTAATTAGATTAAATTAAATAATGAGCCCTATTTAATTAGACTAACCCTTAGTGAATTAGTTTAAGCTAATCACTCACTATATATATGAAGTGATAGTGCCTAGGCTCATAATTATGTTCGCTTTGAAAATCTAGCTGCATTACCCGTATGGGGTGAAATGAAGTTTACACAGATCACAAAAGCCTAAAGTACTTATTTACTCAAAAGGAGTTGAACATGCACTAGAGAAGATGGCTTGAGCTAATAAGAGACTACGACCTCCAAATTCAGTATCATCCAGGAAAAGCCAATATAGTTGCTGATGCCTTGAGCAGAAAATCAACGGGAAACTTAGCTTGTCTACTTACTAAACAGAAGGAAATCCTGCAAGACTTTGAGAAGTCCGAAATTGAGGTAATGTTACATGAGCAAAGTAGGTTGGTAGCCGCCATTGCAGCTCGACCGACAATTATTGATGAAATTAAGTTGAGACAAAGGGATGATGAATTCCTCAAAAAGGTGATTAATGAAATTGAAGTGAATCCGAAGCTAGGGTTTAGTGTGGAGAATGAAGTGTTGAAATTCCAAAAACGATTGTGTATTCTCAACATCTTTGATTTAAAAAAGAGAATCCTGGATGAAGCTCACAAGTAAATGTTTGCAATGCATCCAGGCAACAACAAAATGTATCGGGATTTGAAACAAAGCTATTGGTGGCCTAATATAAAATGGTAAATTGCAGAATATGTATCTAAATGTCTTCAATGCCAGCAAGTCAAAGTCGAACATCAAGCCGGCAGGACTACTTCAACCTCTTCCTATTCGGGAACGGAAGTGGGAGCACATAACCATAGATTTTGTTATTGGTCTACCTTGAACACTTAGAGATATGAACTCTATTTGGGTTATAGTTGATAGATTGACTAAATCTGCACATTTTCTTCCCGTAAGGACTACGTATGATGCTTATAGACTTGCCACTACATATGCCGATGAAATTGTCCGTTTACATGGAGTATCAGTGTTTATTGTGTCGGATAGAGATTCAAAATTTGTATCTAGATTCTGGAAAAGCCTTCACGTGGCAATGGGGATAGAACTCAGATATAGTACTATATTCCATCTACAAATTGATGAACAATCAAAACGAACCATATAGACTTTGGAAGTTATGCTTCGAATGCGTGCTTTAGATTTTCAAGGGAGTTAGGAAGATTACTTACCATTGGCAGAGTTTGCATATAATAACAACTTCCACTCCAGCATTGGCATGGCACCGTATGAAGCCTTATATGGCAGAAAATGTAGATCACCGATTTGTTGGATAGAAGTTGGGGATAGAGTCTTGCTTGGGCCTGAAATTGTGCAAACCACCACTGAAAATATCAAAGTTATTCAACAAAGGCTCAAGACAACACATAGCAGACAAAAGAGCTATGTGGATGTTAGTTTGGACTGTGCCTAGACTTGTGCTTGTGCTTATGCATGTATTGGGTTTGGTCTTGGACTTATACTT